TGGCCCATGTAGCTATTACGAAATGGAAAATAGATAGAGACAATAATACATTTCGTAACGCTATTTTTCTACGTTTAATGTGTACTTTTCTTAGAAATGCCCTATCATCTTTTTCTGTCGAAACAATGGTTATGCTATCAGTACACCTACTTCGGAGCAGTATGGCGGCGACGGCATTGCAGGGAAAGGAGCTGGCTATGGATTGCATACGATCCGGTGCGTGTTGCCTACGGGTGATTGTTTGTCATCTCCATAAGTAGCTATGATAGTGTGGTTTTAAGTGTTGATGGAAATGATGTGTTTGCCGTCTACAATGCTACAAAAGCTGCTCGGAAGCTTGCAGTCGAAAATAAGCCAGTTCTTATTGAGGCTATGACTTATAGACTAGGTCACCATTCCACCAGTGACGATTCGTCTTTCTACCGGTATGTAAATGATTTTGTTGCATGAAAAGCTTTCGTTTGTTATTCTGGTATTGCCTGAGTTTGACAGGTCTTGCTGGACATTTTCCTCGGAATAAAATGCGGAAGGTTAATCAGTTGAAGTTTGCGAATTTTTTTTCTTTCTTCTTCCTTTAAACTTTATCCTTATGTAGGTTGTCAGAAGAGGTGCAAGAGTGGGGTGAGAAGGGTCATCCAATCACTCGATTTAAAAAGTATATTACTGCAAAAGGCTGGTGGAACGATGATGAGGACAGAAAATGGCAGAAAGAGGTAGTTTATGCTGTTTAATAGTGCACTACTGAGCTTACTTTGTACTTGGCGTTTTAGTGTCGTAAACGTGTATTGAAGGCGTTTAATAGTGCTGAAAAAGAAAAATGGGCTCATTATCATGATATGTTCGAAGATGTGTACAAGTTAGTTTTAAAGAATATTCACAATTTCACAGCCGTTTTTGAGATAGTGGAGTTATGACCACGATGCACTTGCGTTCAGAGAAATGACCAATCGGATCAAAAGCCAGCGAGATGAATTGGACGTTCATATTGAAGAATATAAGGAACACTACCCAACCGACAAGTGTTTACCCAAAAATTCCGCTTTGTAAAGCAAATGCTATCTCACATGTTTTGCTTCTGGTTTCATTGACCATGTCATTTTGTAGGTCTTCTAACTCAAAATTCTGTCATATTTTATTCTAAAGGTTCCTGCCTTCACCAGATTTCACTGTATTAGGTACTTTATAGTATTTTATCTTTTATGTTCTCAGAATGTTTAGTTTTGAAATATTACCTCTTCTTCACTAGTCGTCGGAAAGTGTTTCTTTCTTCATGCAGTGAGACCGGGTAGTTAGTTGTTGGTGTGCTTCGTTTAAAAGTATTATAGGTTGTTATGAATAAAGAGTTTGATTTAAGTGCACTAATTAGACTTACTTGGATACTCAGACGGCCCTTCTTCACTGATTGTGCGTGCTCCAGTATAATTTGTGTTCGTTTCTCTTTCGCGGTATCATCGTCTATGGTGTTGGTCTGTTTCGACCATAACGACATCCGCGATGCTCATTCCGAATTCCTAAATTCGTTGCCATCTGTGAATACTGATGATTGACGTTATCCACGAATACCTAGCCCGTCGTTTGGGTGGTTGTCCAAGAGGACGCTTGAATTTCGTTGGAGTGTCTTCCATTGTTTTTCCCGCCTACATACGTGCTTCGCTATCCATATGTATTCCCTTCCATTCCGAAGATTGGATGGCTTTCGACTGTATAAGCTGCACATTCCGACTAGACATTATGAATGAAGGTTAAATTATATAAGACATCGTTCAAATGCCTTGTGGATGGTGCGCAGATTTCTTAACGTGGTTGAATTCTCACCCTACGTTTCGCCAGCATAACATAGCTTTGGGCGGATTGTTGAATAGAAAAGGTGAGTGCGTTCTGAGTGCGGGAGTTGATCAGTGGCTTTCTCGAGTGGCTAAGTGGTGGTCCATGCTGCTGTCCTCTCTAATTCGTCTATCACGTTCTCAATGTTCACTGAACGCCCCATGGTACACGTACAAAGTGGTTCCTGTAACCAGAGAAACATCCAACTTGATTTTTCCACCTTGTCACCATTGGATTTTGCTGTCCAATCGTTCTCACGCTTCGTTCGCTTCACTGTCGCCTCTGCTTCACTAGTAATCCTCGAAAAGTTAAACATCGACGGCGAAGGGAAGATTTCTTAGCAATTTTCCACCAGTACGTATGCCCTTCTCATCCTAATCAAGTGAATTCATTATCCACTGTTGTGCCACAGTGAACAACTTTGGCGAAGTCGTGTCGTCTCGCCGAACCCTTTTTCCCATGGATTTGATGAGGGTTCGATGAAAAAGCTGTATTTTCGTAAGCAGTTTCGATAACAGTCAGCTAGTGTTCGTATGTAGGACGGGTCCAATCCTTGGTCGACGAATGCTGATAGGATTGCATTCGTTTTGACGTTGTTAAACGCTTTCACGTAGTCGATAAAGGTTAGGACAAGGGGCGAGTGGTACTCCTTGCGGACTTCTATGATCCCTGTAGCAGACTTTAATGGCACCCATTCGATTGACTTGATCTTCGTGAACTCGTCACCAGCAGAGAAATCTCTTTGTTATGCCATATGTACAGCAAGAAATTGCCGTGAGATTCGTGAAGAGGAAAAGACAAGTGAATTTAACTTTTTGGAAATCGTGAACCGTAGAGAATGGATTTTCGAGGACCACTTTTGACTCAGTATCTGTTGAAAGGAACGTCCCAGTACAGTGAAAAAATCATCGAAAGATGCCCAATCGCACTTCAAAGGATTTTCTCACTAAGGGATAACACCAGTAGTTTTAGAAATCTTCGATTTAAAGAGAATATGAGAATCTTTCTGGCAAAGTCTACAATGCTTGCAGAAATTCCTCGCCATCTCAAAAAAGAAAGAGATGCATTTCTTTCGACGCTGTTAGACGTTTTCTTAATCGATAAAAGTTAGCCCAAACGCCAGTTGGTAGTTGCGACAGACTTCTGTGACCCACAATACAGTTTGGATCTGGTCCGTGCAGCAGAAACCATGCCGGAATCCTGCTTGCTCAACTGATTACGCCTTAACCACGGTCTTAGACATGCGCAAAAGGATAATCTTCGTGAACAGCTTGTCGGGTACATTCAAAAAGCATTTTTGACGGTAGTTACGAGGGTCACTTCGGTCCACCTTCTTGGATAGGATGTCCGTGCGCGACGTCATCCACTGGTCTGGCACTTTCACTTTCTCATGTTACCATTTCTTCTTGAGCAACTCAGTGGTAATGGAGGTGAGGTCTGAACTTTTTGTTTGAGGAAGTAAGACGAGTTCGGCGCATGTTTCAATTCTTTCGGTAAGCACTTTGTAGTTATCAGTCGAGTATTCCTCTATCTGCCAGTCATATAAGAAGATTTTATTGATATCCTCCCATACACTTGTTCCTTTTCTCTCGGGCGATGACAGTTCTTTCCCAGTTCATGGCTGAATCGAATCTTCGCATGGAGAAGGCGGTGGTCAGATCCTATATGGAATTCAAGTACCAGTGATATGTCAAAGAGGCACCATTTCCTATTCATGAGAATATGATCGATCTCCGTATGACTCGTTCCATTAGGAGATTCCGATGTCCACCATCGATTTTCTCTTTTCTCGTAAAGTTAATTTCTGTGGAATAGATATACTGCAGACAGGAGTCCTGAAATATGTTTCCGTTCTCATTTTGTTTTCCTATTCCGAATTTCGCTATCCTAGACTCCTTTTTGTTGGCCGTTCCTATTTTGGCGTTGAAGTCTCCAACAACGAAATTTTGGAAGGATTTCTCCATGAAGATCATTTTCTCCAATTAGTTGCAAATCGCGTACAACATTCTCTCCTCAACTGTACAAGTTGGTGTGTTACAGTTGATGATACTGAATTTCTTTTTACGCGCAAGTTGGAGTAGAATGGTCAAACGCGATGACAGGATTTCGAACTAGGTGACTACATGGGAAATAGATGGGTGTGTGACAAAGCCAACGCCTCAGACGTTTCGTAAGGAAAATTTTCTTCCACAATTGACAAGAGTTCTGTCACCTAATTGTCGTATGTCGGTCATCTTGCTTTTCGTCTCGTGTAGGGCAATCGCATGGAATTTGACGCGACTAGTTGACTCAGTTGACTCAAGAAGAGCGGAAAGGTCGGCGTCTGAATAGACCGTGTTGGCGTTATAGTTGCACAACAAAAAACTGTCCCACTTATTAGGTCCGTTTTTAACGGCGTCCTGTGCAAACCGAGATCGTATCGCTTCTCACCGGTTTTCTCACCGCCTATGTCGTAGTTGGAAGCTTCCGTTCTGCGGGGTACCGAAGTTGGAGTTTTGCTGATTTAGTCGTTGTAGTTTCGTGGAGTCTTGAAGTCGGTCTAGCTGAAGCCTTCCTCAAGTCACCTTCATCCCACGCAGTCGTCGCCATCGTCGATCAGAACGAGGTTTGCCACCATGTGTTTAGTTTGATACCAGGACGGTGCTGGACCTTGGTACTGGTTTACTCTTATCTGGGCATTCTGATGGAAACGGCGGACTCTTTCTCAGCTTCGGAGGCCCTGCTGGGGGAATAAATCCTTCTGCTGCACATCGTAGCCCGACACCCAAGAATACCTCCCAGCCACGACGACGAGGTAAGCTGTTGAGAGGTTTTGCGCCAGTGTCAAAAGGTAGTAGGGCACTATTTAGAGTTTATCTCAGCATTATTGTGGTTTCATCTTGCATAATACCCTGCTGTAAAAATTGTAGTAGGCAGAAAATAAAAAGTAAACGTGATTTTAACTACAGCCTCGGCTTAACAGGGTTCAATGCCGATGTGGTCTCCTCAGATCAATCCCGTTGATGGACTGCTGATGGCACTGATCGATAGCACTAGCCAAGAGACAGGCGAAACGTATTTAGAGTTTGTTTTAAATTGTTTTACTATTTAGAGTATTTGAAACACCAGATAATATAGTGGAATAGTTAGTGGACAATGGATTCGGTTAAATACGTCCGTTTAGATTCAACAGTTTTCTTCATGAGACGTTGCGGCTGTTTGTATTGTCTGTGAACAAATCACTGCAGCCTTTCAATGGTAAGATAACACGGGTGACTGGGCCTGTTAAGTGATAAGCATTGGAATACCGGGGTAATTTCTCCTGGACGTGTCACGTGTCCTTTCGAAGAAGCCCCTTACCTCCACAATTATACACACGACAAAAGGAGTTTAATGTGTGATTGCACCCGGAGTTATTTGCTTGTCATCAATTGAACTTGGTTTCACATCCGTTCCCTGCGTATGTAGGGTTCCTTAGTTACTTTTTGTGACATTTTCAGCAATAGATCTGAGGTCTTACAATTTAAAGTTACGAAACCTAGCTGGTATTTTTTGTGTAATTATGTGGTAAAAATCTTTGTGAGAGGCAGGACATTGTCGAAGAGATAGATATCGCCGTATATTCCACTTCATTACTCAGAAAATCATCTTTAAAAGTGGAAAGAGCCAAAAGTATCCGCGAACTAGTAGTACAATTGATGCTTCGTTACTGTTAGGTTCACGTAGCTGTTGGTGATTGATGTAATGTATGGGTTAAGCTGTCTTGGAGTTCTGTGTTTTCGAGTACCTTTTTGTGAATTGTTGGCTGGCATAGGGACATTAGCCGTTCCCTTAAGTTTCTGGTTTCTTAACACATTCGTGACGATGCTGGTTTTTTGGCTATCGCTAATTATTTTTGAGAGTAGTTGAGGACTTCTCATACTTAGAAAGAGAGTGCTTTATAGGCTGTAAGAGTGTATGCATTCGCATCTGGATTTCAACCCCTCCCCCCCCCCCCCCCCCCCCCCCCCCCCCCCCCCCCCCCCNCATTCCCATCTGGATTTCAACCCCCCCCCCCCCCCCCCCCCCCTCTTCTCCCTATCCAGCCTCCGTAACTTTCTAAAAGCTGTAAAGGATAAAGCTGTCGGCGTTGATCAATCCCTGAGGGATGCACCATGCATCCGATTTCATTAAGCACCGATGGAGGTGGTTGAATGAATACCTGGCATTAACAGGGACTCGTGATGGTCTACCGATGTATCGAGCTAGTGCTGCTTTCCTCCCAGACAAGTCTAATACCAATTTGACGATCCCGGAGGGACGGAAGGCTTGGTGGGCCATGGGCGCGGTGGTCGATTCCACGTGTATGTCGCAGTGGCGCCCCCAACCACTGCGCCACACGCGCCCCGTAACTTCGTAAGGAGGTTGATCACAAATTTTTCTGTTAACAGCATAGCTGCCATTAAGTTTAAACTGAACGTTTCGAATGAAATCTGGTGGATTACGGTAATTGAACATTTCAAATAAAGTAAACCGTTCTTGTTGTAAGTTTATTAAACAAGAATATTGGAGGAACACTAGTACCGCTTAAGGAAAGCATAATTTAGAGAGCAAATTTGGCAACGAACGTCTGTTTGACAATGCATTCTGGAATCTTCCTTATGAATGAAATCCCTTCTAGTTCAAAAGACTGACTTTTTATAAGCCTCGGCATAGATAGTTGATATATTTATTTATAAGATCTTGTAAACTGATCTTCTTTAGCTGATGCGAGGTTGGTACAGATCCTCGTTGTCGTTATCGTTGTTGTTGTTGTCGTTGCTGTTGGTGTTGTTGGTCGATGGCTGACGTTTCGGCGATTTCGCCTTCCTCAGAGCCGTGCTGTTACGAGTGGGACTTTGGTTTTGTTGAGCCGATGCGAGGTTGGTATAGTTCCTCGTTGTTGTTAATGTCGTCGTTGCCGTTCGTTGCTCGTTGTTACGAGTGGGACCACTCGCAACAGCATGGCTCTGAGGGAGGCGAAATCGCCGAAGCAGCCAACGACCAACAACACCAACATCAACGACAACGACAATGAAGACCTAAATCAACCTCGCGTCAGCTAAAGATGATCAGTCTGTAAGATCACATAAATTATAGCTACTAGTTCAATCGCTCCGTAGTTCACCTAGATGATTTTTGATCAGGAGACCGAAAAGATACTAACTGTTAGTTCTACAAAGCCAGAATTTCATCTTCGCTCTATATAGAAGCTTTATTTTGTCCAAGAAGTTCTTTCAACCATGATGAAGATGATGATTCTTATCTCAGTTATTACACGTTCATATGAACTGAGACGTATTGGCTTAAAGTTTGAAAGCTCTTTTGTTTTTGTACAGGAATACATTTGTACCACTGCATTTGTTCGCAAATACATCGATACTTGGATGTTCCGTCTTCGCCGGTTGTGCGGGCACCAGCATAATCCTCACTTTTTCGGAGTCTCGCTGGTTTAGTCGCCATTGTGGTTCACTCGAGTCCCGACGTCAGCCTAGCCAAAGTGCCTCAGGTCGTCACCACCACACGCAGCCACGGCCATTGTGGATCAACGGGAGATTTGCCACCATGCGACTAGCTTGATACCAGGACAGTGGTGGATCCTGGTATTTATTTACTCTTAACTGGGCTTCCTAATAGGAACGCCGGACTCCTCAGCTTGAGAAATCCTACAGTGGGAATGAAATCCCTACATCGCAGCCCGACACCCAAGAACATCTCCCGGCCACGATGAGACGGTAAACCGTTGGGAGACTGCTCGCAAGTATATTGAAAAATGTGGTTTGTTGATTATCGCCGATTGTTTTCTCGTCCTGATTTTTTTGTAGGTTCTTGCCACTTCGAGAGAAATTGGATTTTATCTTACACCTTTCACTGATCTCTCTTCTATCATTCCTTTAGGATGGCAATTTAACCTTTACAGCGAAAGCGTGTGACTCTTTCTTTGAAGTTTACAAAACAGTTCGGTCATCTGGTACGTGTTCTTGGGTGTTGGAATGCAATGTGCAACAGAGAACGAGCATCGAAGTTAATAGGGAGTTGCACATTTCTATTCGTAAGCCCGACTTGGATTGATAAGAAAAGCTCTACAAGGTACCTGTGTTTGTATCCTCTTCATAAATACTTTTTCGTACTATTGCGTCGTTTATAAGTATTTGTTCAGCTGTGAATATAGCTGATTTTATGCAAGCACATCCCACCACTGTTCATTAACGGAATGAACGTATAGCGACCTGTCTATTGGTTTAGATTCTTTTCTTTTCAAGCTATGTTCTCAAGTTGTCGACAATTCGAGAATTCGAGATTGTTCAAGAAGCATGAGCAGTTCTTTTTCTTTACAGCTCAATAGGGAGCAACCTTCTTGTTTGGTCCTGGAATTCTGCACATCCTTTCATGTTCTTGATTGCAGGGACGCAGACTTAAGAGATAAGGGTTTAGGATGGCTTTTCTCGAGCGAGGGTTATATTGCCTGAAATGGTTGCTTTCGAACAGGAAGGAAACAGATACGCCAAGTTTTCCGTGGTCAGTTCCCATAACGGTTAAATGTCGAGGTAGTCCGAACGTCGTTAGTCAGAACGTTAATCAGTTCAAATCTTTCGGCTCATTCTGTTGTTTATCTAATTAGAATAATTTGCCACTAATTCAAAGTCGTGTGTAATGCAGTGGTCCGAGGCGCTCTGCAATACACACGGGGTCGATCCAAGGCCTTCAGGCTCACCATGCCTTACCTCCGGGGTCAGCATATTGGTACCGAATTTGTCTGGAAATATAGGGGCACTGGTTCGATACATCGGTAGGCTACCGCGAGTCTGTGTAAGAGCCAGATATCCACGCAATGACCTCCAATGATGCTTAATGAAGTGCAGTGCATGGCGCATCGTTCAAGGTTTGATCAGCGCCGAGAGCTTTGTCCTTTTTACGCTTCTTATTCAAAGCCAGGTTTGATTTTGCTATTTGCTTGAGTATTACTTATTGTAGGAAGCACATTGCTGTTCTACAACTGTTGTTTCCATGTCCACCTAGTACATTTCTAACTTGCTGGTTTGCTTTCCTTATTTCTTTTGAATTCATGAGGAAGTTGTTCGCTGGGGAACTTAGTTTTTTAAAACGTGTGTCTACTTTGACTATTACAATGAGTGTTTTGACAGGTTTATTCATAAGTAGCTTCTTGACCGGACTCACTGAAGTAGAAATCTACTCATCAGTTTCCATTCCTTCTCACGATCACTCAATCTCTTCATTTGTTACCATTCCTCTTTCACTAGCACGGTTCCTTTGTTATTTCGCATTTATTTTACTTTCTGTGCTTTTTTTCGTTTATTTTCAAATGAATTATATTGTCTTTTGGAAGACATTTTGCAGCAGTTAGCTGAGCACTACTTAGTTCCCGAAGGTTTAAACTACACAAAATTTGCAAAATTAAGCTTGGATTGTGGTTGAATTTTTTCTATTTTCCGGCCCACAGTCGCTTTTATAGCTTTTAGAGATTGAAGCACAGATTCTCTTTTCCGTGTATCGTTTCGCTGAGTTACGTTTTAATTCTCGAAACCGTTCACTATTAGCAGCAATGGTACTTCATGTTTGATTGCTGATTTCTCTTTCAGATAGTAAAGTAGGAGAGAAAGAATGGAAGACGAGAATGAAGTTGGCTTGCCAGCAAAAGGAATCAGTATGATCATCAAGGAGGTCTTACCGGATATGCGTATTGCGAACGAATCACGTGAACTGTTCGCGGCTTGTTGTGTTGAGTTTGTGAAGTACGTGGCCAGAGGTGCTCAACATGTGAGCGGTCACGACCAACGGAAGACCATCTACCATGAGCACGTTCTGAAGGCGTTACAGTTGTTGCAATTTCCTCAGGATTACGCCGAAGCAGCTGACAGCGTTCTTGGCGAATGCAAGGTTTCTTATTTTAATATTCACCATTATTTTTTATTCTTCTGTTCATCATTATAAGTGGCACGTGTTACGCAGTGGTCGGAGGCGCCCTGCAATATATATGGGGTCGTTTCCCGATCTCTGGGTTCACCAAGCCTTCCGTCTCTTCGGGATCAGCAAATTGCCACCAAACTTGTCCGGAAGGATATCAGCACTGGACGAATACATCGGTAAACCACGTTTAGTCATTGTAAAGGCCAGATATGTATTCAATCACCTCCAACGATGCTTTATAAAATCAAATGTATGGCGCATCCCTCAGGGATTGATCAACTCCGAGAGCTTTTTTTAAAAGCGAGAATATAGCTAAGCTGGAAAGCAGGGTTGTTCTTTGTGTCAGTTGTTATTTATGAAAAGGTACTGTTGTCTAAGGCAATTGTTAAGAGCACTTATCGTTATCGCTTATAGGTTGCTGCTGAGAAGCGCTTAAAGCGAAAGAACTCTAGATTAGACAAATGTGGTATTCCCGAAGAAGAGCTCTATCTAATGCAGCAGCTGTTGATTCAACAGGCCCGTGAACAGGATTCGGATCAGCTGCGTACACATGTGGGTGCTGCTCAGCCACTGGTTCCGGAACAGCAGTTGTTTGCTACGACAGCTTCTCAGGATGACGACGAATATGATACTTAGGTCAGTTCTCTGTCAAGCTCGTGGCTGTCGTCTTCAAAGGAAGATCTATAGTGGAAGAGTAGTTCTTGAGTGATATGCGTAAGTCGTCGGTTGCCAAATGTCGGTCGTAGTAGTTATTTCTTCTTGAGGATCAAATTGGCGTCATATTGCTTTATGATCGTAAGACAGAGTTGAGTGTATTACTCTATGTATAAACATAGATTCTATGCAGTATTATCTCATCTTCAGTTCTGTATGATCGAAAACCATTCCATTTGCTTACTGTAGATGCCCTACGGTCGTTCGACTTGTTGTAGGTACTTACCCTTTGGAGATTTGTTTTCCTTGATTTATTTAGAGACCAATCAGTTGTTTCACTTCTGTTTTACTTCATTTCTTTTCATATATTTGTTGGTCAGCATCCTACTTTATTTTAAAAGAAGTGTTGTGTTCTCAGTCATACATCAGTGTTGTTTTCATTGTTTTCTTGGACACACATTGAGCTTTCGGAGAACAGTTCTTTGACTACATTTTCAGTGGTCGTACTGTTATGGGGCCACCTAATGTTACATGACATTTAGTAAATATTTCGGTCACACTGGCATTTGTAACTAGTTATTGGTTTATGAACCATTCTTTCGGTTTCTTATATATATATATATATATATATATATATATATATATATATATATATATATATATATACTGATCCTATTTTGTTCTAGGCTGTACGAAGTAGTGGAGTCTTGTAACTAACTTAATCTCCTAGGTGCACTTATTATTGTATTCTTTATAAGAACTAATGAAATCTAATGACTGATGGGACAGATGATAGTTCCGTTGATTATGGGAACAGAAGATTGATTAACTAAGCAGTTTTCAAGGTGTCCTTGTCTGTCAAGAAGTTTAATACCTAGCGTTCCATTGACCTCATCTGGGTTAGGAAATATCTCATGCATGGTTTTATATCACTTATTGTTCCAGGTTTTACAGAAACTCGCATTTCGTCTCCTTGGTAGTGGGCTAAAATCCTGAGGAGGTATTGTTTTCATTACATTGGTTTCTCCTTTCTTTTTTAACTTTTTGTGGATTCATAGGCTATCATTTATTTTCATACGCTTTGCATAGATTTGAGGATAGTGCCAATCTTTTCTTTCTTGCAGCGCAATGTTTCGGAAACGGTTATTCCTTCTTGTTCTTCCAACTATGCCGAGTTCTCGCGCAGCTATGCACAATCGTAGCTCGGTACCACGAGTGGTTGACGATCGTGAGAAGTCGAGAGCTTTTCCTGTTGATGCCGGCTACGTATACCGCTATCATCGTCCTGGAGTAGATGCACTTCCACGGATTCCGGGTTGTCGTGTACCTGTGGCGCGACCACCATTCCGAGTGCGTGATAATTGGCGCGAATCACAAGCACGTTTCGGACAGAATGATTATATCGATCTGCTTGGTGATGGACAGCTTCATCCAGCTTTACTACAATACCACACACCGAAGTGGTTACGAGGATTTCCGGGGCAGCATCGTGCTAATGAGCTGGTAAAGCTCATACACTATCGGAATTTGTATGCTGAGAAGTTGAAACAGAATTCACCGAGAAGATGGCATGAATTGTGCAAGAGGATCAAATATCTCCTTATACATCACAATTACGATAAGCAAGATGAACTCACTAGAGAGCGCGATCTTGGCTTGTGGGAAGAAGAGCCTGACTATTTCTACAAGGATAAGTCGAGACGGTCTTATCAAGATCTTGTTTAGATTGCGCAGTCTTTGGTATGTATGTTACAGCTTTTTTATGTAAAGGTTAGCTCTATTTATTTACTATAGCACTCATGCTTGGTAAGAATTGAAGGAGTTAGTAGTCAACGTCTTGAAATATGTTGTTTCCTGAAGTCCTTCCACTGTTCTGATGACGACGATTATCCTTTTATTGTTTCTGACTTTGTTGTTCTCTTATTCACATTTGCACTCGTTGTTGAGTACTGAATTGTGATCTTGAGCATGACTATTTATCTTTCTGAGATAAATCATTTATTTCCCTACGTAATTGTCGTCCAAAGAGCGAATAGGAATACTTTCCGGAGATCTACCTTACATATTTAGATGTTAGGTTGAGAATTTCGTTGTGATTTTCTTTTCATCTAAAATATAGCACTTAATAAAGAGGGATCAAGTGCAACCAACAATGGTCATTTATTGAAGGTGCTTTTTGTATTGAAAGGATAGGGTATCCCTGGTTTATTTTCGCTTATCAGGAGACTTTTTGAATGCTTATCTCTCATAGTACGCTCGCTGTGATGTGGATGATGAGGATTGCGTGTTTATCCCGATCTCCTTAAATGAGTACGTTGCTTATCGTAGTGTCGCAGGTCCTTCTTAGAATGTGAGAGTTCGATTGCCTATTGGTTTTCTGTGAATAGTTTTCATTTGTGATAGATATGATGTCATTATTTCCGTTCTATTTAAGGAGTGTTTAGCTGCCTTACAATGTTCGTTAGTGGTTTAGATGATGGGCAACTAAGTCATGTTTGCTGTCTTTGTTAATGTGTCGAAGTAGTTCATGGAAGTTTCGTGTATCGTGTTTCGGCTTCTTGTCAGAAAAAACGCTTCTACATTCCTTGGTTTTCGTTCTGTCTAGGCTTTATCAGTTGTTTCCATCATTTTTTCCACTCAGTAGTTCGTCATAGTCTTTGAACTTCGGAAGGCGTTTTGATTTTAGATGCCATACAATGCTGGCTTCTCATCGGATAATGGCGATACAAGGGCGCTGATCGATAGAAGCGTGGCGTTGTCAAACGATTCCGTTAGAAGTGTGGTTGACAATGATAGTTCAGATGAAGGTTGGACGAGTTCCGTTGAAAACCGTTCAATGCAACACTGCCATTGGAGCACCGAGGACATTCATTATGATGAAGTAGAGGTAAGGTCTATTTTTACATTAGTTTTATCTCAGCATTTTGAAGATATGCGGACTTAAGCATTCGGTTGTATAGTTCTCTGTTCAAAAAGTGGTAGGTGGATGTAGTAAATATCTGTGTGGTGAATATACTTCTGTCATGTACAGGTACTAATTAGGCGCTTCTATTGCATACGAGATCAAAAGTACCTTTTTGTTCCAGTGGAATAAATGAAGGCATGTTTTTCAATTTATATTTGATTGGTGCGAATTTAATGCAGGATTTTACCAACTCCCTTTCTTTTTATTTCAAGAATGATTCGCCTCCACTGATACTAAATGCCCACTAGGTGAAGTTAATGTGCATGGTTTCACTGTATTGCACAGGTTTTCTACTTCCACCCCTTGATCAGGCCCACTATTCTTTTGTCGACGACAACGAACTAAGTCGCTGGCTATAGTGGACCATCCTGGCGCGACCACATTAGAATTTAACCGTTCCGCCTTTAAAAAGTAGTTACCTGCGTTTGGCTACCACCGTTTGATAGCTGTAGCAAGTGTAAGGCACCAATACACGCGAACTGAGGTGCTTTCATGTCCATCTGCCAGTCTCTGTTTTTACTCTTGGAGAGGAAGAGGTCTTTGTGGCATAACAAAGTTTTTTAATAAAAACGGTATAGATGCTTAAGAGCAATATGAGCCGCGTTTTTTGGTTGCCGCAGGTTGAGAAGGGTGCTGAACCTGCTATGCAAGGTTCTTCCGTGCTGATGTTAGTAGTGACGAGGCACGCAATGTTGATGTCTGGAGCTTGTAACTTATGATTTTGATCTTTAGCTTGGATCCATTCCTTGATCTATTCCTTTGGTTAACAAGAACTTTCGTGGCACCTTTGTTGGGAAAGATGGTCTCTATGTGAAAGTTGACCTTCAGTAATATCCAGTGGTGTTTTCTATAATTGTATTGAATTTCAATCATACAAAACGGGACATTTGTGACCAGCCAACCAAAACATAGCTAATTATTTTTAGGACATTTCTCTGTTGTGTCTAGGGTGCCTGCACATATGGACTGATTGGTTACGAATCAAATGACCGTGGCGTAATAGAATTGTAAAAGCGAAGTCTTTGTCCATTCTCTGTCTATAAACTCCGTCGAAATCATTACGAACGGAGCTCGAAAACGTTTCTGCCACGCTCATCCACGGCCATCACCTGTTTCCTTCTTTTATTGTTCCCTATATTCTAGTTGAAATAAATAGGTCATAAATAAGCCATGCTTCACAGTAACTTACTTACTTGGATGCTTGGATTGCTCTACCCTCAAAGGTTGTGCGAGCTCCAGCATGTTCTCCACTTTCGGAGTTTTGATGTTTAGCCATTTTGCTTTTCTGGAGTCTCGAAGTCAGCCTGACCAAGGCCTGCCCCAGATCGTCACCACCACAGGCAGTGGCCGCCCTTGTGGATCAGAGGGAGATTTGACACTAGGCGACTAGTTTTATACCAGGACAATGGTGGATCCTGGTATTGGTTTACTGTTAGTTGTGTTTCCTGATGGAAACGCCGTACTTCCTCTTAACTCGGGAGACCCTGCCGAGGGACGAATCCCCCGCTGTACATCTCGAGACTCAGGAACACCTCTCAGTCACGATGGAGCGATGAACCGTTGGGAGATCCGCGGTAACTGCAGTGAGCAGCGTCACTGTGGACCACAAAAAGTAGTAGCTACATCGTAGATTGGAGTAAAATCTTGAATTTTAAAAGGTGCAAGTACAAAAAAACGATTTCCACTAATATGACTTGTAAAGTGGTAGATGTATCTTCACTTCGTATTTGCAAAATTATATATTGGTATGATAGTTTTTGGTGAGACCCATTTATTGCGGATAGTGAAATCGATCGTTTGTGGTAAGAACTGACACATTTAAAGTATCCCTTATTTATTATGGACACCTTTGAAATTGTATTGTTTCTTGAACAAAACAGGAGTGCTTCAAGAACAACATGCGATCAAGACTTCTTTAGAAGAAATAAAAACAGAAAGCAGCTCATTATCTTGTTTCCATAATAGGAGGTTGTTCATTAAAATGAATCTGCACTTTAAAAAGTTTATCATAAAATAATGAGAGGTTTTAAGACAACTATATTATAGTAGAGGGTAATGTGCTTGCTATGCTGCTCCATCGAATCTTTCGAAGACATACTTTTCCTTTAATATTGAACGGTTTTTATCTATTTTATTCGTTAAATATAAATCTTAATTACTGAAATCAACCTCAGTTATGCTAAAATATTCGCGAAACTTCGACCCCTGGCCAAATTGAACCACGATTTCCCTTTCTGGGGGCTCGCACATTACGCACTACGCCACAGAGGTCCTTGCTCTGCGCTTCTCTCAGCTAGTTTTCGATCTACCAGTGCCATCAGCAATCACCCATCAACGGGATTGATCTGGCGAGCCCACATCAGCGTTGAACTCAGTTAAGCTGAAGCTGCAGTTGAAATCACAATGTTTACGTTCTGCCTACTACAATTTTTACGACAGGGTATTATGCGTAAATGAACCACAACGATGCTGAGATATTTGTAAAACTTGAATTACTTAATTTATTACTTAAATTTTGTTTTTACGTCATACTGATGAATAAGCTCTGGGTTAAAAATCGTTATATGATTCAATTTTGTTATGAAACGAAGTGATGTGTAGCACAAAAATATATTTGGTGGTGCATATCTGTCCATTTTTTAGTTTTCCTTATAAATATTAAACGCACTAGAGTTCTGAGATAGCTATGCTGGGGTGTCCCGAGATCTTCATTATAGGTCTTTTCCAGGTTTTACATATTGGATGTAATCGATTTGATTCTCGAAAGGTTTGTTAGCAGTTTTTCGAGCCAGGAGAGATGAGAGTTTGATGGGTTTCGAACAACAGAAAAACGCCTTTAAAAACTGGATTACGCGGAAAGAATTCAAGAAAAAGTCCTTTGCAATTGGAACAGTACTGTCGTATTAGGCAGATGTGATCCATGTGTATGACTCACATGAGGCGCATGGATCACAAAAAATCATTTATCTCGACTAATGCGCGTTCTGGCATTAGGGCTTGTTGTCCGCTACATGTTAGTCATCTCCATAGTTGGGTAGTTCGTTATTGTATGTCATATCAAAGAAAGAATTGGTTTTATGGTTATTTTTGTAATTCATATTTGCTGGTTTATGTGTTAGGATTTTTATACAATTCGTATCCCGTTAAGAACTTATTTGTTTAGATTGTTACTGAAATAACAAAGTAACAAAGTTATAACCGAACGATCAGTTTTGGTCTTTTATTTCGTGAAATCGTTCACGTATGGGGGAAGTGGGAGGATGGAATTTTAACTAGTGTTTAAGAGCATTCACCAGCGAACATCAGTGTGACTTGTATCTATCATTAGGTCGTATAGGCCAAATAATATATTTAGTCAACTAACTTTGTAATGTTTAATGGAGTCGAATGCATGCCGCACACCTGAGCGATAAAGCAGCGCTCATTTCAGTTCTTTTTTCAAGTATATGGTGGTGAATAGCTCACTAAAATATGATGAAAACTAACTTAGTAAGGGTGGTCTTGGTGTTTCGAAGTACAGAACTAAAAGGAGTTTATAGAAATCAACAAAATAAAAACTCAACTCAACAAAAATACGCTCAACAAAAATACGAAGAAAATTACTTGATCAATGCCGAGGTTATTAGAAAGTCGGTCGTGGGAGTTTATAGGCTTTTGTTTTTTCCTTCTAGATTTTTTAAGGCTTAAAGAATGTTTGGGATACAACATAGTCAAACATTCAAAATTCTTATGTTGAAACCAGAAGTAAAGGTATTTTTAC